TGAAGGGTATTCTTCTAGGCCTTTCCATTGTAGAGGATTATATTTTACACATTGTACCCACTCTAGCATTGCAACTTACCTGAACATTAAAATTCCTTCATCAAGTTGAGCGGTGGTGGCCTTTAATCCCAGAACTTGGGAGGCAGAGGCAGGTGGATCTCTAAGTTTGAGGCCGGCTTGGTCTACAGTGTGAGTTCCAAGACAGCCAAGGCTACATAAAGAAACCTTGTCTCAATAACAAAAACAAAATTCTTTCATCGACACTAATACAAGGAATACCAGAAACCTCCAACTCCTTTTCAGTACACCATCTTTTGACAAATGGTTCAAACAAAATGTTGATACCTTTTAACTGTGTGAGCTTCCATATTAAACCTAGAATCTCCACTTAGTTGGAGAATCTCCAACTAAGTGGAGATTCTCAGCCTGATCTCATTTTATGTTCCTTCCACTATTATCCCATACTCTTCTTTTAAAGTTTTATTTATTTATTTATTCATTCATTCATTTATTTATTTAAATGTGCTCTAACTGCATGTACACCTGAATGCCAGAAGAGGGCATCAGATCCCAGTATGTGGATGCAGGGAATTGAAGTCAGGACCTCTGGAAGAGCAGGCAATGTTCTTAACCACTGAGTCAACTCTCCAGCCCCTATCCCACACTCAAAATCTATTCCCACACATATTTCCCAGACTTCTGCTTGAATCAATTATCAAACTCATTAATCTTTTTAGTAGCATAGTTCACCTCATGGACTACACTTTCAAACTCCCCTCTGGAAGCCCATTTAGCCCTAATTGTAATTATAGGTCCAGAGGCAACTGTTGGGAGATCCTGAGAGACATGAGCATTGTCTTGCCTGGCATCTCCTTCAGAGAAAGTCACTGCTGGTTAGCAGACAATGAAGAATTAATTTCCTTGGTGAAAGTTGAAAAGGGTCGTATTTCAGGGGATACAGTAGGAGTATATTTGCTGAGGGTGGAGAAACTGCCTCAGGTGAGATAAACCTGAGAATCTGAGGGGTCAAAGTCCTCAGTTTTAATAGGACCCCCAACCCCCACATCTTCATGCAAGTTACAGGATCACATTCTTCACCAATTAGTGCCCTTACATTAACTGTGAACATCCACTGAGACTGAGACTTGAATTTTTGCTGTAATTCAGCCAACCTTACAATGAGGACTTGAGCTTGATTTTCTGAAACTTGAGCTCTGTGGCTGCTAGCGAGAAAATGTTCTTCCAAGGCACACTTAGAAACCTTTTGTGGTGGTCTGAGTGAAAATGGTCCCATAGATTCCTAGGGAGTGGCAATATTGGAGGTTTGGCCTTGTTGGTGTAGGCATGGCTGTTGTGGATATAAACATGTTTTTGTTGTGGGATGTGGGACTGATTCAGACGGTCCATAGCAGCAGACTTCAATTTGTTTGGGCTCTGAGAAGAGCTCTCTGCCAGCTGCAGATAGTTTAAATCTGAGGACTCTGGAGAGAGAATAATTGCAAGAGCTCAGAGAGTGTGGGACTTGGGGAAAGAATAATACTGTTCCTGCTTCCCCTGGATGCTCCTGGTGGCTGTTGTGAGACAAGAAGATGGAGATCTACTGAAAGAAGGATTGGACTGGCTCCAAGGAACCCGACAACCCTCACCAGCAGGAAGCAGCTAAGAGAACTGTGTCCCCTCTCCTGCTAACCCTTTCTCCCTCCTACCTGGTGTTGGGGTGTTGGAAGGGTTTGGGGTGGAGTAAGGAGAAAAAGAGAAAAGAAGTATAAATGAAAGTTTTTTTAAAAAGTACACCAATATGTGGCCTTGTTGGAGAAAGTGTGTCATGGTCTGCTTTGAGGTGGCAGATGCTCAAGCCAGGCCCAGTATCTCTCTCTTCTTTCTTCCTATGGTTCAAGATGTAAAACTCTCAGCTACTGCTCCAGCATCATGTCTGCCTTCATGCCACCATGCTCTTCACCATGACAATAATGGACTAAACCTCTGAACCTGTGAGCCAACCCCAGTGGAATGTTTTCCTTTATAGGAGTTGCCATGGTCATAGTGTCTCTTCACAGCAATAAAACCCTAAGACACCTTTAGATTTTATGTTTATGCATATCTGGAATCATATAAGCAGTCTAAAGTCAGTTTTATCACGGAGTTGACTGATGTCCACTGTATTTGGAGATGCTAGAAGTTGGTTACTTTCATCTCAGAACTCATTTTTTTTCCTTTGTCGATTTATTTGAAGGTGCTAGAAACAACCAACCACCAGGACCATTTTCCTTATTTTTCCATAAACTGTCAAAAGTTTTATTTACAGAGTCACCAAATTCATTGCCTTTCACAATTGGTGAACAAGGATAATAAGAAGCATTTGTCTCCTTAAGTTTGTAAACTAGTTCACACCATGGGCATTCAGTACTCTCTGAGCTTCTAGGACAGTTTCAGTAACCGAGAGGCTTCAGTAACTGCAGGTGTTGGAAATTGGACATCTGATTCCAGATACTTAAAAATTTCATCCTTAGATTTCTGTTGCTTTAGAACCACTTCTGACACCAAAATTTGTATTAGTCAGAGTTCTCTAGGAATAGAACTTACGGATAAACACATACACATACTTATATGTATATTATACACACATATATACATAAAGGGGATTTATTAGAATGGCTTACAAGCTGTGGTTCAGCTAGTTCAACAATGGCTGTCTACCAATAGAAAGTTCAAGAAGCCAGTGGTTGTTCAGTGCACAAGGCTGGATGTGTCAGCTTGGGTTTCAGTTAATTCCAAACACAGTCAAGTTGACAACCAAGAGCAGCCACCATATTCAGATTTTGTTCAACTCTGCCCATAGACACTTTAGGCATTTAATGAGTGTTTTTTTTTTTTTTCTGACTCCAGTACAAAATAGATCTGCCTTGTGTACATATAATCTCCCTGTTCAGTAAAGTGTTCTCAGGAACTACAGTGCATCATGACTCTATGGAACCAGCTGTTATCTTCACAATACACCACACAAACCACCTACATCTTTAGCTGTGGAAGAAATCTCTTGCATATTGTATGGATGCAACACCTGTCAATTAAAAAAACTATGGTCTATGGCTGAGGCCAGAAATAGGTGGGACATCCGTCAGGAGGAAGGGATTCTGGGATAGAGCCAGGTGCTCAAGATTTGCCAGTAGGATGTGAGGAAGGTAGACGCATGGTGCCTGAGCTCAGATAACCAACCATGTGTCCAGGGCCATCTTAGTAGTGCTGAGTCCCACCCATGTGGCTCTGGGCAAGCATTATCTTGGGCTTTTGCCACTTTTTTTTTTTTTTTTTTTTATTCTGTGTTTTTTGAGACAGGATTTCTCTGTGTAGCTCTGGCTGTCCTGGAACTCACAGAGATTTACCTGGACTAGTCAGTGGTGGTGCATGTCTTTAATCCCAGAATTTGGGAGGCAGAGGCAGGTGAATCTCTGAGTTTGAGGCCAGCCAGGTTTACAGAGTGAGTGCCAGGACAGGCAGGGATATACAGATAAGTCCTGTTTTGAAACAACAACAACAAAACAAAAACAAACAAACAAACAAACAAACAAACAAAATAACAGATCCACCTGCCTCTGACTCCTAACCACCTGGCTAAACATTTCCAAAATGTTATGTGTGTCTTGCTTATAGCATACCTGTCACCATGTGTGTGACTGCAATACAGAAAGGCCAGAGAGTATGTCGGATCCTCTGGACCTGCAGTTACAAACAGCTGTTGGTTGCCATGTGTGTGCTGAGAATCAAGCCCTTGTCCTCTGGAAGAGCAGCCAGAGCCCTGAGCACTGAGCCGTCTTTCCAGCCCTGCCCCAAGCTTTTTCAATAGGAGTAATGAGTTACATGAAACAGGCATGGTAAAAATCTTCCATCCACCACAGGGGTTTTGTTGCCACTCACAGAGCCACTTCAGTACTCTGAAGGGTGAGTACAAGAGCACACATGTGCTGACCGAAGGGCCCACCCATCCACTTCTGAGTACCTCAGCTGCTGAGAAGCCACGGCCAGAAGCAACCAGAGGAAAACTATTTACACATCGCCTCTGTTCCCTGTGTTCTGCCAGCATTACACCTTCAAGTATCCAGTATTCAGAAACAGGCTTTGGAAGGGCTGAGGGGCTCCACACCCAACCATGCCAGCCTTGCCAGCCGTGGGAACAGACCTGGTTTTGGTATCAGATTTCCCCCTAACACCTCCTGAATCAAACAAACAAAAGCTGAGGCTGGAGGGAAGAGGCTTCCTGCCAAGGGTCTGTATACCTGGAGTTGGAGAGATGGCTCAGCAGTTAAGAACACTTGTTGCTCTTGCAGAGGATCGGGATTCAATTCCCAGGACCCATATGATAACTCACAACCATCTGTGCCCCAGTGCCAGTGAATCCAGCCTGCACGCAGGGAAAATGTTCATACGCACGAAGTAAAATAAACCTTCAAAAAATACTATGTATGTTCTAAAGTCAAGTTAGATTACAGTCTGGTTTATTTGTGAGAAGTAAACTAAATAGTAAACTAAATAATTTGTCATGTAATTAAGCAGATTTAAAAGAGAGAATCCCAGAACTCGGGAAGCAGAGACAGGCGGATCTCTGTGAATTCCAGGTCAGCCTGGTCTACAAAATGAGTCCAGGACAGCCAAGGCTACAGAGACAAACCCTGTCCCGAGGAGAGAGAAAAAGAGAAAGAGAGAGAGAGAGAGAGAGAGAGAGAGAGAGATTGTCTGGTGGTGGTGTACACCTCTAATTGCAGAACTCAGGAGACAGAGACAGGTAAACTCTGTGAGTTTAAGGCCAGTCTGGTCTACAGAGTGAGTTCCAGGACAGCCAGGGCTACAAACCTGTCTCAAAAAAACAAAACAAAACAAAACCTAAAGAGAAAGAGAGGAGAAATTATAAAATTATTTTAATGGAAGCAGAAATAGAATGTAATACCACTTAACAGCCATTTATGAGCAGATTATTTTAAAAATTAACACACTGAAGGCAGGCATGGTGGCACATGTCTTTAATCCTGCAGAGGCAGATGGATTTCTAAGTTTAAGGCCAACCTGGTCTACAAAGCAAGTTCCAAGGCAGCCAGGGCAATACAGAGAAACCCTAGAAAAAAAGAAAACCAAAAAAAAAAAAAAAAAAAAAAAGCAAAACCACACTGGGAGGCAGGAGAGACGGCTCGTTGGCTAGTGTACTTGCTGCTCTTGCAGAGGACCTTGGTTCAGTTCTAGCACTCACACAGTGATCACAACATCTGTAACTCCAGTTCCAGAGCTGTGATCCAATACTCTCTTCCGGCCTCCTTGAGCACCAGGGACACAAGTGGTACACAAACATTCATGCAGGAAGAACACCGTACACACAAAGTAAAAATAAGTTTAAAAATTGTTTTAATTAGCAGAACACATGCTTAGTATATGCAAAACCTGGGGTTCAAGCTAAGCCTCCCCCCAATCAAACAAGCATATGTAATATGACTGCCTATAAGAAAAATTAAAAAAGATGTCATATATATGCCATTAAGACTAATAAAATATGCCTGAAATTCCAGCACTCAGGGAGGTAGAGGCAGGCAGATCTCTGTGAGTCAAGGCCACCCTGGTCTACAAAGTGAGTCCAGGACAGCCAGAGAAACCCTGTCTCAAAAGCAACAACAAAGCAAATAAACAAACAAAAGGACTAATGAAATAGCCAGGCATAACAGCACTTACCTTTAATCCTTGCAGTAGCAATGCACAGGCCTCCTTGTGAGTTCACAGCCAGCCTGGTCTACAGAGTGAGTTCTAGGACAGCTGGAATAACAAAATAGGGAGACTCTGTCTCAAAAAACCAAAACAAAACCCAACTAATGAAATATAAAATTATAACCAGAAAGTATAAAATACTAAGGAATAAATTATTGTGAGTAATGTAATTAAGTAAATAACAATACCTGTGTTAAAAAAAAAAAAAAAAAGGAGCCACAGATCTAGACCAGAAACATCTTAAAATTATTATCAGAAATTAAAACGTGGCAAAGCTGGGCAATGGTGGCACATACCTTTAATCCCAACACTTGGGGAGGGTTTGCAGAGGCAGGTATATCTCTTGAGTTCTAGGACAGCATGATCTACAAAGTGAATTTAGGACATCCAAAGCTACACAGAGAAACCTTGTCTCAGAAAACAAAACAACTACAACCAAAAAATGTTGGCAAAACCAACCCTAGAAGAAGGGGCCAGAAGGATGGCTCCATAGCTATAAAAGTGCTAGCCATCAAGGGTGAGGACCTGAGTGATCCCAGAATTCACCTGGGGAAAGAAGAGACGCCCCCCAAGCTGTCTTCTACCCTACACACATGCACACATGATCATCATGAACATGAGTACTCTTGTGCACATACCTACGTAGGGAAGCAGATGTTACCCTAGGGTGGTGCTATAGGGTATTACAGTTTTTGAATTATTTTTATTTATTCTTTGTTAATCTCGTACAGACAGATATAGATATGCATATGCAATATATGCAACGAAACTTAGTTACATCCACCCTCAGCTCCTCCCTGCTGCCCCCTCAGCCAAGCCCCCGACACCTGCCCCTTCTACCCACATGTCTGATCTTTTTTTAATAGCCCACAGAGTTGAATTAGTGCCGCCTGCATGCACAAGGCAACCTACCAGTGGTTGCATTGCAAAAGAAAAATTATTCCCCCTCCCCCAGCAGCCATCAAGGGCCACTAGCTCCCCCTCCCACACCCATGCTGGAACGTTGATTGGCTTGTTCTTGCGCAGGTAATCTTATCTGCTGTAGTCCATCAATACAACAGCCATAAAGGGTCTGCATTCACACAACTCCTCCTGATCTTCTAGCTCATAAATTCTTTCTCCTTTTCTTCTGTGATGTCCCCTGCTTTGTTAAAGGTTGATACAATGTCCCATTTAGAGATGAGTCACTTATTCTAAGAACTTTTTTCAGTTAACTTTTTTCCTGACCAAGGTTGAGAGCAGCAATGAGTATAAACATCAAAATTTAGAAGACATCTGACAGATTCATTTACCAAAACAACAGAAGCGTGTTGTCATCCCACACATAAACCTATGACCTCTCCAACCATGAGCTTTTAACCCTCTTTACATTACCAGGCATTAGTGCCCTCCTGTAGAGCAGGCCTCAAAGCCAATCAATAAGGCAGTTGGTTACCCCATAACAGTCATACCACTATTTTACCTATGTGTACATCTTGCCCAGCAACTTAGTACTGTGACATACAACATATGTCACTGGGTAAGTCCATGGATGACTTTTCTCCCCCAGTAACCTTCATGGTTCCTTTTGGCGACAAAAGTTAGCCATTAGGAAAGAAATTTCCAGGTCAGTTTCAATTTGATTCCTCTATGTCCTGCAATCAAACTGTGTTGTGTCTTCATAATACTATGAATCCTCCTGCCTCTACCTCCTAAGTTCTGAGATTTCAAGTATAAACGACCATACTGTTTAGGTAATGGTGGGGATCAAAACCAGATCTTGCTAGCCAAGAATTCTACAACTGAGCTATATCCTCAACCTAAACCCCATCCCTATTTTAATTGGGTCAGAGTATTGAGTATTGAAGCCAAGTATTCACACATATTTTCTGGGAGCCAAAGCTATCTACTGAAGTCAATTAGTGAGCCAAAGCTCTCTAGTGGAGACAAAGGTAGCTACTGAAGCCAAAGCCAAGTAGTGAGCAAAGGTCATTTAGTGGAGACCTAAAGCTATTTAGTGAAAGAGTTATCTAAAACCCTAAATCATGGGTGATAGATCGTGAGGACATCTGTTTGTTAGAGCATCCGTAAGATATCTTAAGAAAACATCCTTATGGTATCTTGCAGGTAGAATATTTAACCCATGAAAGCACTCTTCCTATCTCCTGCAGCAGTAAATTCACCTTCCCCCTTTCCTGCCTTCTCCCTATATAAGTTGGGTAAAAATTTCTAATAAACGAGGCTTTGATCAGACGAACGGACTTGGCCTTCATTCCTGCATCTCTCGTCCCTTCCCCTCCATTTCTTCCATTCTCCTACTTTAGGAACCTGTTAAAGTCCCGAGGGTGGGACACTTAACCACTCAGCTATACCTCCCTTCCTTCCCTCTCTGAGACAGGGTCTTACCATGCACCCTCAGCTGGCCTGAAACTCACAATGTAGAGCAGGCCAGCCTCAAACTCCTAGAGATCTGCTTGCCTCTGCCTGCCAGGTGCTGGGAGTATGGGCATGTGCCAAATAAGAAAGAGCCATTGTCTCTTTACATGATTCCCCAGTAACAATACCTGCAGAGTTTTGTTGGGGTTTGGTCTAGTGTTATGTATGCAAATGTTCAATACTGGACTCCAAGATCTGGCTCCTGCCCAGATGAGCACATTCTCACATACACCAAGTGATGTTATATAAACCTTGCTCCTCAATTTAAAGTTGGCTGGTTAATAAAAATAGCTAGAAGCCTGTAACTGTGCAGAAGATAAGTAAGTGGAGCTTAGGTTCCTGGGCTTGGAGTCAGATGAGGACTACGAGGTAGAAGGGAGAAACAGGAAAGGAACTGGAGAGAAGGAAGTCACCATGGGGCAGTACGGACCATGAGCATGTGGCCACGAGGGCTGGCCAGATGGAACAGAAGCAGCCCAGACAGGAACAATTATGGCAAATAACTTGGTGGGTGTAACTGGGAAATAACAAAATAGCTTAGAAGGCTGGTATCTGCACAGTTACTGTGCTTTAAAGCTTTTATAAATCTAAAAGGCCTGTCTCTGTTTGGGAACTAGCTGGGGTTGAGAAGCCCTTCAGAGTCTAACACTCTTCCCACAACAGAGTTTTAGTACAATATCACAACCAGAGCCAAATTAAAGAAGATATTTTTTTCCTTTTTGTCATTCCCTGCCCCATGCTGGCTTCAAACTCACTGTCCTCCTGCCTTAAGCTCTCAAGTGCTAGAATCACAGTAATGTGAGTATACAGAATATTCCATGTAAATACACAGAATATTTCTGTCAGAATGAGGGTCACTTAGGTGCAGGCTCCTTTTTTTTTTACACATCCTCTTACCTCTTGGCACCAGCAGTGAGTTTATTCCTATAGTTTTGTCATCACAAGAATGATCTGCACAGGGGCTCACACACTGTGTAACCTTTTACACCTGGCTTTGTTACTGGGCATGGCTTTCTGGAGGCTCACTCAGGTTGTTGTGTGTACAAATAATTCTTTTTTACTGCTGAGTAATAAGTATATCATGATGTGGAGTGCTGCAGTTTGTTTAATCATTCACAGGTTTCAAGGACATCTGGGTTGTTTTCTTCCCGGTTTTGCCTCGTCCAAATAAAACTGATAAAAGCATTTCTGCACAGATTTTTGTGTGCACTAGTCTCACTTTTACAACTGGTCCTGAGGCTAGGCTGGTATTTATGGCTTTCCTTTTTGTTTCTCTCATCCCTTTACTCTGTCAGTAGCTTACATTTATAGCGTGTTTGTTACATGTCAGACCCTGTCCTAAGAACTTTACAGGTATCACTTAATTCTCACAATTACTATTCAGGCATGAGTTACTGTCTTCCCCACTGAACAAATGTGGGAACTGATGAGGAGAGAGGCACATAGCCAGAATGCACCAGCATTCAGCTTTGAGCCTGAGTAGTCTGGGTTCCCTCCTCGCCAGAATGTGACACTGCCGGACTCCAGTTGGCCCAGGGTCTTTCCTTATGGAATAACCCAAGCCCTTCATTCCTGGAGGACCTGAACTTACAGTTGTTTGTTTCTGCTACTTTGGGCTTCTGTTTACTTTAACTATTGGACACAGGGGTACACGGTACCCTGAGTATTGCACTACATTGCATCCACCTTTCTCCCTGACCCCATTATGTAATGACAACACTGTTTCCTCTAAGTCATCAATCTCCCTATTTAACTTCTGTTCCTCTTTCTGCCAATAGCTTAAAGAGCTTGAAAGAGCAAGGTAGCTTGACCAGTTGAGTTCCTGCCCGTGGGAGCAGCTCTCTTGGGAGTACTACTCTGGTTTGCTTTCCTTTGCTGCGATAAACACCCTGACGGAAAGCAGCTTGTAAAGGATGAGGTCCCAGTCACTGTCCATCACTGAGGGAGTCAAGGCAGGAACTGAAACAGAGACCACGGAGGAGTGATGCCCACCGCTTGCTCCCCAGGCTCACAGCTGGCTAACTTATCCCTCCCAGGATCACCTGCCTGAAGGCAGAACTGCCCCCAGGGCTGTGGGCCTTCCCACATCAATCATAATCCAGAAAATGCCCACAGGCCTACATGATAGGGGCATTTTTTCAACTGAGGTTCCCTCTTCCAGATGACCCTAGTTTATGTTGACATGACAAAAAACAAAAAACAAAGCAACAAAAACAATCCTAGCCATCACAGGCACTAAGCCTATAAGCCAGTAGACTCCTAAACTCTCATAAATGGGTCATTATGTGTAATAAGAGGCTCCAAGTAGGCCTGCCTGTGAACCTACTCCTGAGATCCACCTTGACCCCCTCTTGTCCCAGGCCAGCTCCCTTCTCCCCCCACTGTCCCATGGCTCCCTCGCCCCACAATCAGCATTCTTCTTTTTTTAATATGTATGGATGTCTTGTCTGTGTGTACGTCTGTGCACCAAGTGTATGAAGTGGCACTGGGATCGCTGGAACTAGAGTTCTAGATGGTTGTGAGCTACCATGTGGGTTGTGCTGGGAATTGAACCTGGGCCCTCTGGAAAAACAGCCAGTGCTTTTATCTGCTGCGCCATCTCATTGGCCCCATTTTTTTTTTTTTTTTTTCTGAGACAGGGTTTCTCTGTGTAGCCTTGGCTGGCATGGACTCATTTTGTAGAGCAGGCTGGCCTCGAACTCACAGAGATCTGCCTGCTCTGCCTTCTGAGTGCTGGGACTACAGGTGTGCGCCGCCTGGCTCCATCACTGGCATTATCTTAAGTGTACAGCTCACTGGCACCGACACAGCACTGTGCCACAGGGCTCCAGGTGAAACCCCCGCACTCAGGTGGATGTGGACCTCTGGGTTCCAGGCTAGCCAGAGCTGGGTGAAGAGACTGTGTCACAAAAGAAGGCCTTTACTACTACCACAACCACAGTGGCTTTGAGCACGACACAGGTCCTGGGTGCTGCCTGCGTATCTTCTCACTCAGTTTCCCAAACAAGCTATTCTCTCTTGCAGGGATAAAGTGACTGTTCAAACGAGAATTCAAATATAGGGACTGTACTTCTAAAAGCTTTGCAGTTTATCTTTTAATAATGGGTCTCTGAGTTGGTGGTGTGCGGAGGAAACACCAACACACACACACCCTCATCTGGGTAAGCCAGGCTGGGATGTTCTCTTCAATATCTGAATCCCCTGTAGAGGGCAGAGGAAGGAGAGGTTCAGCCTCCCTCTGCCCTCACTGTATTCTCAGGCTCCACCACCTCACCTGAGCATGAGGATCCTCTTCGTTGGCTCTTTGGATAAACCAGATAATCCCTGGTTTGGGAGGAGAAACGAGTCATAAGGTCACTTGGTGTCCCATGATCCTGTGTTTGGTTTTTGTTGAGACCCAAAAGCTTCTCAAGGGAAGCACTAGTACTTGCTGAAGTGGGCTAGGGCTCCGTACCCCCACCCTAGGTCGCCATACCCACTGCCCTAAGCGTGCCTGCCTTGGCCTCATATCTCACCCAGTTTGCTGAGCACCGCTGGACTTGCTGAGTCACAGGCCCACATGGCAGCTGTGACCGAACTTCCTGTGGAAGCAGCCAGAGAGCCTATCCTACCCAGAGGACCCTGCCTCTGGCCCTCAGGTTCCCGCTGATGTCCTGGTGGCTCCAGGCTCGGGGGCATCTGCAGCCCTGCCCCACCTCCCACACCTGCCTTCCCTGCTCAGCCAAAGCCCTCTGTGCAATTGGCTTCTCCACCCAGAGCAGTCACATGCTTGTTCTTGGCTGCCGGAACTCCTGAGAGAAGTTAACCTTTTCCCTCTCACCAAAGAGTATCTTAAAAAATGAGCTGAATGCACGGCCAATAATAATCCCAAGCAATAATCCCAAATGATAAGACTCAACAAGCCCCAATGTCACAGGCTGCTATGAGACTGGGTGACTTGGTGCCCAGTGAGGTAGAGGCTGCAGGTACAAGAATCTGCAGCCAGGACCGGGAACCAAAGCCTGGGCTCTGCTGTGTGTCACTTTTAGTGACTTACTTCCCCTTTCTCAGTGGCCACTTCCTCATTTGTAAATTGGACTTAATGGTCTACTTTATAGAGTTATTGGAGATTAAGGTGGACCACATAAAGATCTTAGGGAAGTTAGTGTCAGCCTTTATGGGAGTGGGTGTGGTTAATCCTTCTATCCCTAAGGGCTTAGAACAGTGCTGAGGAGACAGTGAACCTTTAGCAATGGTAACTGTTATTACCGCCTATGGTTTTGCCTGCTTGTCCAAGTAGCTCCAGGGGGCTGTAGTTCCCATGTTGCTCAGCATGGCACTTTTAATGGGTGTTGGCAAAGATGTCTCCATAGGGCTAGCACTGACCCATTCCCTTGTGCCCCTTCCTCACCAATGCTGGGGTGTGTTTCGTTTTGAAGATTTATTTTCTTTTTAGTTGTGTGTACTTGTGTGCGTCCGTTTGGGTATGTATAAGTGCCCACAGAGCCCAGAGGTATCTGATCGGCTGGAGCTAGAATCACAGGTAGTCGTGAGCTGCCCGGGAACCCAACTCCAAGCCTCTAGAAGAGCAATTACGCACTCACTCTTAACTGCAGCACCATCTCTGCAGCCCTGCTGCCTTTTAATCTTTTAAACTTCTGCTCATTTAATAGGCAACATCCTTAGTCTATTCTTTCACTGTTTCAGTTTTTAAATTATGCATACATTTTAAGCTCAATATAAAACTTAGAAGCATATAATTATCAATCTTTAACACCAAAAAGAAAAAAAACAAAAACAAAAAAAAAAGTGACAAAATGGTCGGTGGTGATGCACGCCTTTAATCCCGGCACTCAGGAGGCAGAGGCAGGCAGATCTCTGAGTTCAGGCGAGCGCAGTCTACATAGTGAGTTTCAGGACAGCCAGGGCTGTCCTGTCTTGAAAAACAAAAACAACAAACAAACAAGCAAATGAAAAACAATATGAAAAGTAAAAATCTCTACAATCCAAGTTTTCAAAAGTAACCACTCATACCCCCACATGGTGGCATGGGGCTGTAATACCAGCACTGGAGAGGTGGAGGCAGGGGAATTGCCTCAAGTTCCAGGTCATCCAGAGTTACCTAGGAGAGACTCTGTCTCAAAAACAAGGAGGATGGGGAGGGAAGTGTGGCTCAGTGGGTAGAGTGCTGGCTGGGCAGGTCTGAGGTCCTGGGTTTACTCCCCAGCACCACATACCCCAGGCTGTTCCTGCCCTCAGCAGGGGACAGCAGCAGGCCTACAGGACTAAGGCCAGCCTGGGCTACATGAAATGTCACCTCAACACACACACACACACACACACACACACACACACACACACGAGTGTGCAAAAAAGGTGACTATTGTTAGTTATACTTGTATGATAAAGGAAGGTTTAGCTCTGCAAATTATTTCCTATTTGCCTGTAAAGTACATACATTTATTCTACTTAATTAGTCTACCTCATTTAAATTATTTTATATGTAGTTTTAATTGAAATAAAGTCATAGTTTCTTTCCTTCCTTATTCTCATTTCATTTCTTTTTTTGTTTGTTTGTTTTGTTTTTTTAACACAGAACACTTCACAAAATTGTGTGCCATCCTAGCATGGGGACGATAGTAATCTCTGTATCATTCCAGTTTTAGTATCCATTCTGCTGAAGCGAGCACCCGAGTCACATTTTGTGGCCGTCCTTCCCTGTCAGCAACCACACACACACTGTTTTGTGGAGGACTGATACTGTACATTTGCCAAGATGCCACGATAACGGGGCAGTGCCGCTGCTCTGCCCTGGCTGCTCACTTTTCTCGCTGTCGTGCAGTGCTGCCGGCATCGCCCTGCCAAGTTTGCCTGTTTCCATAGAGATCAGCAGAAACAGACTTCCATTTGAAACTTGCTAGATATGCATTCTAAAATCACCCCACCATTTTATATTCTTGCCAATAAAATAGAAATGCAATTCCCATCCACTCCTAACCTTGAAAATACATACATACTACTTATGTATGTATTTGTTTGTTTGTTTATCCGAGGGTGACACCAATGTGGGGATTAGGGGACAACAAGGGTGTTCTCTCCTCCCACCCTATGGATTCCAGAGATGGAACTCAGCTCACCAGACTTGGCAGTAAGTGCCTTTACCCACTGGCTCCTCACTTTTTATTATTATTGTTACTATTTTAATAAATCGGCGAGGCACAGTCTGTGTATCTCAGACTGGCCTCAAACCCTGCATTCTCCTGCTTCAGCCTCCTAAATGCTGGGGTCACAGGGGTACATGACCAACCCAGGTGCTTTGTATTTTTGACGGCTGGTACTTTAACAAGTGTTTCTCTAATCTCTAATGAGATCTGGTTCATGCTCTGTTTGTCAGCCACTTAGCTTTCATTGGCTTGTCCTAGGAATACCCCTCCTTTCCCCTCTTCTCATTTCCATCTTTTTTTTTTTTTTTTTTAATGTGCATTGGTATTAAGCCTGCATGTATGTCTGTGTGAGGGTGTCAGATCTTGGACTTACAGACAGTTGTGAGCTGTCATGTGGGTACTGGGAATTGAACCCAGGTCCTCTGGAAGAGCAGTCAGTGTTCTTAGCTGCTGAGCCATCTCCCCAGCCCCTCACTTCCTTCTGTATTCACTCTTCTCTTAGACAAGATGGGACTGCCATCAAGATGACTGCAGGCCATGCTCCCTCTGAGGTTTCCTCGTTGCTGCTTCTTAGCCTTGGCAGCTTTTGCTGATCTTTGGTCTTCCTTGGCTTAGTGCTGAGTCACTCCAGCCTCCACCCCAGCAGCCACACAGCGTCTTCTGCCTCTGTTGTTTTTTCCAGGGTGCTGTATTCAGATCAGTCATTTTAAGTCTTTTGAAACCTGGATCAACTTATTCTTTGAGGATGTGGCCACTGGGAGGACTCCCATGCTCTGATGGAAAGCCCACACCCATGCACATATGCAGTGACTGGACTTAGTGGGTTATCTAGAAAAAGAAGAACAAAGAGAAAGAGGAGGAAGAAGAGAAAGTGATGACATCAATAGAAGGGTAGACATATTGGATGATGTGTGGGTGGAGTGGGGGTAATGTGGGTGTGGGTATAATCATATTGCATTGTATTCATGTATGGAGTTCTCAGATGATAAAATAAATAAATTTAAAAGCCCTAACAAGTTTGGTTTCTGGGCAGCCACTGGTCAAGTGGGCAAGAAGTCTGGGCTCCCATGTTTCACACTTTCAACCTCAGAGAGTACCTTCCGAATTGCTACAGCATGCAGATGAGGCCCGGGTAGATCTGAGTGAGAATGAGCAGCTCAGCCACGGTGTAGCAAGACAGATGGCGCAAATCCAGGTGGCAAAGTATGTGTCCCATGTTCTCTTTGACTCCAACACAGAACTGAGGTCAAATTGCCAAGTCTTCCTGGGACACTGGGAGAGGGATTCCCACCCTCTTCCCAGGCAGAACCTGGGTGCTGAGGTGAGAAGGGCACCTTGGACTTGTAGGGGATTTGTTCCTGCCTGTCCTGAGGCTCAACAGGGAAACAGTGAGTCAGGGGATGTATGACTCCAGGGACTGGGGCACTTTCCCAGCCCCAGAGAGAGCTTTCATTTTCCTTTGGATATTTTAAGTTTTGAAATGTGTTTAAGATGGAAGCTTTATTAGGGAGTTTGGTAGCTTAATTTAAGCCATTAACTAAGACACATGTCTTCACTCCCAAGCTCTCGACTGTGAAAGTGCTAGCCAAGTGCGCCTCTGTGAAGCCAGAGACTGTTGCATAAAAGCTGTTTTATAGCTTTTGTCTCAACTCCTCTGGAGCCAGGCTTGGCACAGGAGGAGAGTCACAGGGAGGGCGCTCTGGGTATTGTGTCCTGGGTCCCTGTGGTCTGAGGCACCCCTTCCTTCCCAGACTGCACAGCTGCATCCCTCACTCCTACGCTGGCTGTTAGCAATAGACCTATTTCTGCATCCGTGGCACCTCTAAGCCAGAGTCTTAGGAGATTTGTCAAGTGATAGGACTAAGAAGGGTAAATATCTCACAGTAGTGAAAATTTACTAGTATAGATATGATTATGGTATTGTAATTTTATTTATTTACTTGTTTTTAAAAGTTGAAGAAAGGCATTTATTGGCTGTGAGGAAACAAACACATAAAATAGGCACAAAGAGAAAAAGACCCTCTGCAAAGCAGGAGCAGGGAGGAGGGGACTCAGAAAGCTGAAAATCCCAGTACTGTAACTTTAAAAGAATGAGGTTTGTTGTTGTTGTTGTCTTTTTGAAATGGTTCTCACTATGTAGCCAAGGCTGGCCTTGAACTCATGGTAATCCTCCTGCCTCAGCCTCTTGAGTAATGGGATTACAGGTATGGGACAATGCCTAACTAAAAATTCCTCCTCCTCCTCCTCCTCCTCCTCCTCCTCCTCCTCCTCCTCCTCTTCCTCCTCAAGGTCTCATGTAACTAGACTGGCCTCAAACTCACTAGGAATGCAAAGGATGAACTTGAACTCTTGATCCTTCGGCCTTGAACTCCTAAGTGCTGGGATCACAGGTAAGCACTGGCCATACCAGAGTGGTGTAGTGTTTTTGTGTTGCTGGGGTTGAACCCAGACACTCTACCAACTGAGCTACACCCCCAGGCAAGAATTCTTATCTTGAGGAGTATTTACACAAGAAATAATGTTTAGTGTTTGTTTTTAACTTTTTTAGCTGGGCACAGTGGTACATGTTTTTAA